CGGATGTAGATATGGCTGAACGAAAAATGAGATATGCCTTTTAAATGTGACTCCATAGCGGAAGTTGGGGGGCTTTTAAACTGCAGCTGGAACTCCAAGTGAACATGGAAGTAGGTTTTGAATTTATTATGTAGACAAGCTGCCGCTTTGCCTTTGGCTCAGTAACAGCTACTAAAAGTTTTTACTCCTTTCCCAAAAGGATAGCAATACAGTCACAATGCTATATCAAGTTGTAAATAGGCTACAGATGGTATATAGAACCAAAAATAATGCTTGTCCAAATGGCTCTGTGATGTTGATGAACTAGTTACGAAGATAGAACTTTTTGTGAGTAATTTGATGCAGCTGCTGATCTACAATTTATTAACTAGTGGTCTAATTCCTGTAACTAACTATAGGCCATATAACTACTATAACTACCGCCAACACGAAACGCCGCCTAGCCTTTTGATTTTCTCAACACCTTCGAGATATCGGCACCAACAACCTCAGCATACTCTCATCGGCCAACCAGCGAACTTCGGTCTGTCATAGACAATGTGGAGTGCAATACAGGAGCAGAAAGAAAAAATACTTGAAAAGACTAACTCAGTTGCTCCTTGAATTTTTTGGGGGCACTTGATGGCTGTTAAGTTGGAAGCGATGAGACACCTGGACCAACTCCCGAGAGTGACTGGGAGCCAGTTTCTGAGTCCATTACTTCCGCATCATCATCATCGCTGTCGTTTTACTCGAGGTCATCAGGCTCTGCAGCAGCGCTTAGGGCTGCCACTCTATTCAAAAGCCACTGCATCTGTAGCAGTGGTTGTAACGGAAGTGGCTTTCGTTCAGGGTCATCAGTTTCCATGCGAACGATTTCCCCCGATTTAACATGGTGACCATTTTCTAGCCCTTTCTGGTAATTATACAGCCCAATATCTGAGGGTGCCTCCAGATCCAGGGATGGGACTTCGGTTAGTGGAACTGTGGTTCGAGGCTCTGCGTGTTTCAACCAGTAGAAATTGAGCTCGAGAGCTCTCGTGTTCTCCGTTTCCACATAGGACTTGAATTTAAATGCGAACAAAGCATTTCCGTGGAGTCTGTGCGCGGTTGGTGACAGGCAAATGAGGTTATGCGGACTCTCAGTGCCGGCCCCATATGCCGCTTTCAACCAGGCATCGACGTGTTCCTCCTTCCAAAAACATCGCAAAGTCTGGATGAGTGGTGATGCAACATGGCTGTCCCGCAGTGAAGACGGAAAAATGTGGGCTACATCGACGCACGGAACTCGCTGCACAATGCAGCCTTTGTCCCTTTCTTCTGTCTATGCTATGGTAGTTGAAATGCAAAAGGATAATTAGGGCGGCATACTAACCAATTTAAGGGCTCTTTTCGAGCGGGCTTTGATGGGTGCCGCCGAAGTGTTTTCAACGTCCACAGTTGATGTTGTTAAGGGTATTCTGTCAGGGTCTGTTACGCGTTGCCTACGGGGAATTAATGCCGGCGACGTTTCCGTAACAGAACTGGCTTTTGAGGAGGCCTTGGAGCCTGATCTGCCCTTCTGGAGCCCTGGATTGTATTATCAGTAATTTAATTTTGGTTAGAATAGTGCCAGGTACTAACACTGCTGTATTGCAAGTTTTAGGAAGCCTGGGTTAAGTAAAACCACCATCGGAGCGATGCTCCCGGGTGCCGTTTCTCGGAGTTTCTCGATATCAGCCAACCAAATGAATGCATAGAGAGCTGGCGAGACATCTTTGGTCTGAAACAGTTTGAAATGGTCCTCGGCAATCAACTTGATCAGTTCTTGCCGCTCAGGGTCAGCGAATTCTTTACTCGGTCCTTCCATCGCGTTATTTGCTAGGGATAATGTAAGAGGGAAAAACTGTGATAGATAAAGTAAGAAACCCAGCAGACGCGTCGAGAAGATGTCGAGCTTGCTTTGAATAAGGGACGAAGAACTGTTTGACTGGAGGATTTATATAGATATCCAAACTAGGCAAGCAACTAGCTAGCGAGCTAGTGATGATCGACGCGAGCTAGAAGGAACGCTAGTCTAGAACGGGGATGCGGGGCTCATTCTTAGCGCAGCTGATGTCATCACGCTAACAGACCGGAATTTTGATCTGCCGATTCCCGGTTAACTAGTGAGTTACCTAAGCAATCGCCTTGTTTACTCGCAATCAAGGGACGCCCAGCAGGCCGAGTTGCAACAAAGGAGCTTGGATTGAAAAAAGCCGGATGCGATATTCTAGATGCGCTTGCGATGGGTAGTATATCCCATACCCCGACCTCGATTCCACCTTCGTCTCCTCCGTTGTCGCCGCATCAACAATTCAACGATCCCTGCCCTGGCGACCATAACAAGCGCAGTCCGACGCCCGAGGATGATCAGGACACAAGCGGCATATTACCTCTGCCGCCCCCGACAATCCGGATATCAAACGACGACAGCATAACACACAATGTCGCCGACGATGATGACGCTGGCGGCCGCGGCGATGACGAGCTCAGTATACCAAACCAAACAATGGTGGAAGAACGGGAGATGCACCGCCGATTGATGGACGTGGAGTCTAGCTTCCTTCCGGAGCCGTCAGCCATTCGAGTGGGCGAGGGTGCCGTGGGACTCGATGATACGTACCTCGTTGGCGTCGATTTGCCCGACTCGTCGCAGGTTGAAGAACAGAGCAGCCCGTCTCCATCTCCGTCTCGGCCAGCGCCTGCAAACCTGGATAAGCACATTGTTCCGGCCCCGACTACCGGGCTGGGTCCATCTGTCTTTGAAGATAAAGAATGCGCAGGGAGCTTGGAGCACGTTCCGTCACTAAACTCCGAAACGTCGACTCATGCCGACGCTGCGGACCACCCCCCATGGCCAGCGACTGCCACGGAAGTCGCTGAATCGGCCTCGCACTCTTTCTCCGCGGAAACGGACGCAAATAGCGAAAACGGGTATGATCATGGTGAAGAACACAGCGTGGCCGGTAACAGTGCGCAATTAGCTGCTGAGGAGGACATTGATGCTACGCCACGGCGAAGTAGAACGTCCCGGAGGCGAACCTTTTCGTTATCGCGATCCTTATCAAGTTTACGGCGTGATGATATAACGGATGGGGATGCAAGCGAAACTGGCCATTCACAGACAACTGCCGGCACGCCTTCAGGTCGGAGGCGGAACAGGCCTAAATTCCTAACTAGCAGACAGTCATCTCATCGCTACTCGACTTCATCTGTAAACACTGACACTACCTCTAGTGATGCCAATGTTGGCGTTGACTACGCCCTACAGTCGGGGGGGTGCAGTGCCGGCGAACAATGACCTTAGACCGCAGAGCGAAAGAAGGCAGAAACGAGAACTATCCAGGTCAACGAGTTTAGGTAGCATGGCTTCTGGAATTTCCGGCTATAGTGATGAAAACCCTCTTGAACGAAGAGCGTTTAGCGGAATATCGGAGCCGAACCTGCACACCCTGGATGAAGAAGACGTCGCATCGCAGTCTCGGCCAACTTCGTCAGGGAAGACTGCGGAGGGAAATGCCGAAGACGACGCCGCTCCTATGACCCCCAAAGCTAGAGCCATTGAGCTGCCACTTCCAACCGACACAGTTATCGCGCAACACGTCCAAGACATCCAGGTTCCTGGGACATTTGCCCGCCAGTTCCGTGACAGCCACCTCAGCCTTAATTTATCACCCGATAAACGCGGTGCCCCAACGCCTGGCTTTAGTCGCGGAAAGAATATGACCCTTAAGGAGCAGAGCAGCACTATCGACAGGCTTTCGAAAGAGAATTTTGATTTGAAAATGCGCATTCACTTTTTGAATGAAGCTCTGAATAAACGCTCTGAAGAAGGCATCAAGGAAATGATTTCTGAAAATGTGGAGTTGAAATCCGGTAAGCTTAAACTGCAAAAGGACAATCAAGCCTTGAGGAAGAAAATTCGTGAATTAGAGAAGCAGTTTCGAGATCATGGCAACAGCGAGAAGGGCGACATCAAAGATGACGCTGCATCGGGATCTGAGGAAGAGCGCGCGATCATGGAGGAGGAGGAAGTGATATACTTACGCGAGAGAGTTGAGACTTATGAGGAAGAGATAGAGAGGCTAAGATCTGAGAGTATTGCAAGAGAAAGTGAAAAACGAAGGTTAGCGGAAATGGTAAAGTCTCTGAGTGATGGGAGAATTGTCGAGTCTGATGCAGGCGCAAGAGAGGAAAGGGTGAGTTAGATTGACACTTTACTCGGATATTTGGTAATTGGATGGTTCCCTTGACTGATAATTATATCTGATTCAGGACATGTGGAAAGCCATGCTGGACGCAGAAACCGCCGCTCGAGAGCAAGCTGAAGAGGAAAATCGACGCCTTCGAGACGAAATACTGCGCATAAAAGGCAGTGATGCGGTCTCAACAGCTCATTCAAGGAGTACTCGACGGCGAGGAATGTCCTCCGTCCTTTCGCAATCCGATTCCGATCGTGATGCCATCCGAAGTGCTGCCAGGCGGACAGCAACAAGTAGTACGCATCGTGAAATTGAACTTCTACAGCAAGAGAATGCGGAGCTTCGTAGAGAAGTCAGTGCCCAAACGTCTATGCTTACTTCGCGCAATCGCGAAAAGGAACGCTTGTATCAGGAAATTGAAGAGTTGAAGCTCCAACGACGTTTTGATGGGCGTTCTATCGCCGGTGATAGTATCTTTGAACGCTCGGCATCCAGAGCTCAAGACAGATCCGCCTCGCGGGCGAGTGACGGAACCAGGGCGTCCAGGATGAGTGATACCGAGCGTGAGTCCTTGGAATCCAAAAACGGGGAGCTTCGCGACCAGGTGTCGACACTTAAACTCGAGAACCAAGGCCTTCGAGCTCAACTCGATGAATACATGAGCGAAATCGAGAGCATGGATCGTGCCTATCAGGAAGACATGGACCGAGCCGAAGAACAGATTCAGAGTGCCGAGCTTGCGCGCGATCAAGCGATGCAGCTTGCCGAGGAACGCGAAGCTGAATTGCAAGACCTGAAAGCGGAAGCTCAAGACGAAATCAATGCCCTAGAAGACGAACTGGATATGAAGACGGATGATACTCAACGGTTGGACGCCGAGTTAAGAAATCAAGAAGAGAACCTAAGGGCATTGCAAGCCGAAATGCGATCAGCCAACGAAGGCATCCTCCGACTTGAAGAAGATGCACAGAACAATCTGCAAAAATACAAAACTGTCCAACTGGAACTGGAGGACGCGAACCGTGAACTTGAGACGTTGGAGAAGAACTTGTTCGAGTCAAATGGCAAAGTCCAACGGCTTACCGTGCAGTTGGAATCAAGTCAAAACGAAATTGCTTTCCTCCGCGAAGAGCAAGATGGAGATAAGATCAAGATCGGCGACCTGGAATCTGAGTTGACGACGACTCAAATGAGCCTGCAGAGCGAAAAGGAACGAGCCAGGGAGCTTGACAGCCGCCTTGCGGAAGAGAGGCATCAACGGGAAGTCGTTGGCAGTAAGGAGAAGCAAGAGGTTCAACGGCTCATGAACGAACTGAATCGTGAGAACACTGGCGCTAGGGAGGACATCCGCAAGCTGAAGAAGGCTCTCTCCGCAAGGGAGATTGAAGCGAATACGTGGAAAGAGAGGCTGTTTGAGCTTGAAAGCAGCCTTCGGGAAGCCTTGGGCGACTTGAACGGAACGCGATCGAGCCTATTGATGTCGATCACGAAGCTACAGAAAGAGCTAGAGTCGACCACCCTTGAGCTACAAAGTACGCGCGAGAATCTGGATGAAAAGGAGGCTCTCCTTCGAAATCGCGATGCACTTCTAGAAAGCCACGGTCTCGAAACGCGTAAATTGAGCGAGCTCCTCGATCGCGAACGTCAGGCTCATCGCGCGGATAAGCATTCGTTCGAACAAGCACTCAGGTCTCACCAGCAGGCCTCGCGAACGATTGCCCAAAGTAACACTCGCATCTCTGACTTGGAAGCTGCGCGTGGCCAGGATCGCAAGCGCTTCAGCACCCTTGAGCAGCAGTACAAAGACCAGCTCAATGAGCGCAACGCGATGTTCTTGAATCTCTGGAAGCGATTATCAGCCATGTGTGGGCCAGACTGGGCGCACTCGAACAGCCTGATTAATGGCAATTTGCCGAGCCAGGAAGTCATTGGCAACATACTATTTTGGCCCGGGTTTAGCAAAAACTTGCTCCTTGCAATTAAAACCGTAGAGCATCTGGTCAACGGGTTCAAGGGCCGCGTCAAGAGCGTTGAGCGTGATTTGACCAAAGCGTACCAGAATCTTGAACATACGCTGAGCATACGGCTAAAAAAGCTGGACCGATTGGAAGAGCTGGCGCATCAACTGAGAGTCCAGAAACGTCCATTGTCCTCTAACTCAACAAACGCAGAGATATCAAAGCTGCGCGGCGAAAACAGGCTACTGAAAGCCGAACTGAATCTGCTGCAATCGCATTCCAAATCCCGCGGGTCGGCAGCGGCAGCAGCCGCAGCTGCTCATGCACAACCGCAAGGAAACCGAAGCGGGAGCGTGGTGTCGCGTGGCGCCTCTGGAATCCCACAACCCGCTCATCACTATTCTTCGTCTTCCACAACACTCACCAATAATCATCCCGGCACTGGGCCCACGCCGCCGCACTCGCAGCCCCACCGCACGCCCTCCGGCAACGAACGGTCTGAAGAGAAGTGGATACAGAGACTCCGTGAGCTCGAGCGG